TTCGAGGATGTCTCAGGCAGGCTCCCAGGGTCCCAGGGAGGATATGTAACATGTGGTCTTCTGGGCCCCCAGGCTGGACCACCTCTTGCGCGGCATCTGGGAGCTCAGAGTTGCGAGAATGTCTTGTGCGAAACAGGCCGGACCACCTTGCGCACGGCATCTCAGAGCTCAGAGTTGCGAGGATGTCTCAGGCGAGACGGGCCGGACCACTTCGCGCAGTGCATCTCGGAGCTCAGAAGTTCGAGGATGTCTCAGGCCAAACGGGCCGGACCACCTCTCGCGCGGCATCTCCGAGGTTAGAGTTTCGAGGATGTCTCAGGCGAAACGGGCCGGACCACCTTGCGCAGGGCATCTCAGAGCTCAGAGTTTCGAGGATGTCTCAGGCGAAACGGCCTGGACCACCTCTCGCACGGCACCTCGGGGCTCAGAGTTTCGAGGATGTCTCAAGTGAAACGGCCCAGACAACCTCTCGCGCGGCGTCCCGGAGCGCAATTTTTCGAGGATGTCTTAGGCGAAACGGCCAATCCCGGCCAACTCAGAAACGAGAGTAGTGAGGATGTCTCAAGCGAAACGGTCCGGACCATCAAATTTTTGTGAGGATGTCTCTGCTCCGACTTCCCTCGGCCGGAGTTAGCTTTTATCACAACAGCACCCCGTTCAGCAAGCTGTTTGGGGGAAAACCGATAGGATCTAGCACGCCAGGCACCCCTGCGATGAATCGACAGGGGGCGGCGGATCTAAGACGCCTACGGGGAATCACCGCCGCCCCCTGCCTTTTTGGAAGCGCCTGGGTGGCCGAACGTTGAGGCCAGACCTGCCAAGCTATCGGACCATGTGTTCCCCGAATCGATTTGGAGAGCCTTCGGGGAACACGTGAACACGTGGGCATCTTGAAAGTCATCTTGGCCGCCTGGGGGCCATTTGGACCTGTTCGGGCCTTCTTGGAGGACATCATGGAGGGCTCTTGGGCCGTCTTGGAGGCCATCTTGAGTGTCTTGGTCTTGGGCCCTCTTGGGGCCTCTGGGGGCCGTCGTGGGCCTCTTGGACGTTGGTTGGGTGCGCTTGGGCCGTCTCGGGCCGTCGGAAGGCAGAAAAAAAGCAAATGCCACAGCCCTTCAAGAACTCACGGGAAATCGCTGATTTTGACCTTTTCGGCCTTTCCTGGAGGCCCTCTTGGAAGCCTCTTGGGCCGTCCTGGGCCATCTCAGGGCCATCTTCGGTCGTTTTGGTGGGCTCCCGGCCCGTCCGACGCCGTCGGAAGCCGTTTGGGGGGCCCCTCTGGGCCGACTTGGGGCCCTCTTGGAATGCTCCAGGGCCGCCTTGGAGGCTATCTTGGGCGTTTTACAAGCCTCCTGGGCCGTCTTGGGGCCCTCTTGGGCCGTTCGGGGGCCATCTTGGAGGCCTCTTGGGCGATCTTTGGGGGCTCTTGGGCCGTAGTGGGCTTCGGATGGCCGAAAAGGAACAAATGCCAAAATCTTTCATAAACGATTGAAGCGTTATATCTATATATATATATATACACACACATGTTTTTGGCCTTCCTGGAGGTCGTGGCGGTCACATTGCTGAGCATCGACGCGGCGATCGACGCGGAGCGAGGCGACCTGATGAAGTCGAAGAGCTTGGACACGTTCAACGGCGCAATCTATTCGAAACAGGTCATCCTGAGCGGCGGCGGGCCACCCTGCGAGACGTGGAGTGCGGCTCGTTGGTCGGATCTGCCCGGCCCGCCGCCGCTCAGGACCCACGATGAGTACTGGGGCATCAAGACAGCAACGGACCGCCAGCGGCTCCAGCTCATGGTTGGTAATTTCCCCGCTGCAGGCGATGATGCTGCTGATGGGAGCGCACCTACGAGTGGGATCCGCGGCATGGATGGAGCACCCCATCCCAGCGCACTGGCGGCGAGAAGCGGTCACGAGCTGGACATGGGAACCGTTCCTAGCGCTGCAGAGCTGCCCAGCCGTGACCACCACCGACTTCGACCAGCGCGAGCACGGGGGCGAGGTCGGGCGCGCGCCGACGCGCATTTTTCGGCCTCCGAGTGAGAGGCCTGCACACGCCCCTCACGGCGACGCCTGGACGAGGGCGCTGCTCGCACGGGCGAGGAGCGCACACCACCTTACTCGGGAAAAAAGAGGAGGGCGTTTTCCGCACGGCGGCCAAGAAGGTCTGCCCCGCGGGCCTCTGCACAGGCCTTGGCTAATGCCATGATCGACACGCTGTTAGAATTCGTGTCCTCCGAGCTCGGCTCCACTGAGCCGGAAGGAGAAGAGTGTCCAGAGGTGAACGGTCTCAGGGTTTTTTCGCGGGGTCGGTTCTGGAGGAAGGGGAGGGCCAAGAGTGGGCCAGTCGGCGAACCAGGAGTTGTCGGCCCGATCCCGAGCGTCATCGCTTCCGTCGGCCCGAGGTCCGCGCCGCGGCCATGCCGTGCCCCCCCTTTCCGAAGAGCCAGACAGCAGGGGCCCTTGTCCGACCCCCGACCCTTTGGAAGACCTCACCCGAGAGGACATCTTCGCTGCCGTTGTAGGCCTCGAGTCCCCTTCGTCCCCTGTCTCCGTGCCTCCGCCTCCTCTCCATGCCCCTCCCGCTCCCCTGACCGAGCAGCAGCGAGAGCGAATTGCGAGGAACCGAGACGAAGCGATCCGGAGGAGGCACCTCAGGAGGGCCCCGTGGATTGTTCAGGCCAATGTGCGGTTCAACTTCTAACTTTCGGGGGCCCCTTCATAAGTTGAGGGCGCCTTCTGCCTCGACGCAGGGGTGCGTCGCGGTTTGACCCTCGGCATACGCAGCTGCGTTCAAGCCGTAGGCCCACGGCGGCAAGTCCGCTCGCAGACGCGGACGTTCACCGTTGTGGGCGGGCACAAATCGGCCACGGTTGCGCGTAGGTCGCGCGCGCGGCAGTGCGACGCGACCGCGGCCTCGCTGCGCAGGCGCGGGCCATCGCGCCGTCGCGCGCCAGGGTTGCGCGTCGCGGGGGGGGGGTCGCTGCCCCGCGGCGCGTGCGCTTCGCAGGTGATTTGCTAGCGCCGGGGTTGCGTCGCCGCGGGGGGGGGTCGCTGCCCCCGCGGCGCGTGCGCTTCGCAGGCGATTTGCATTTGGAGGAGGCGCCGCGCGCGCGCCCCGCGCGCGCGCGCGGCGGGTGCCTCCCTGGCGCGCGTTCTTTCTCTTCTTGTGTGTGTTGCGTGTGTGTGTGGTGCGTGTGTGTGTGTGTGTGTGTGTGCGTGCGTGTGCGTGCGTGCGTGTGTGTGTGTGTGTGTGCGTGTGTGTGTGTGTGTGTGCGTGTGTGTGTGTGTGTGTGTGTGTGTGTGTGTGTGTGTGTGTTGCGTGTTTGTGTGTGTGTGCGCGCGCGCGCCGCGCGCGCGCTCGCGCCGCCGCCGCTCCATCGGCGGGCCGCCCTCCCTCCCCCGCAGGTTCCTCTCCCCCTGTGCCCCGCAGATTGGCCGCAGGCAGGAATTGGGCCGCGCCCCGCGCTCGGGATTTGAGCGTGGGGCGCGCCGCGCGCGCGCGCGCCGCCGCCGTCGTTCGCGGGCTCCTCCTCTCCTCCTCTCCTCGCGGGTCGCCTCGTCTCTCTCTCTCTCTCTCTCTCTCTCTCTCTCTCTCTCTCTCTCTCTCTCTCTCTCTCTCTCTCTCTCTCTCTCTCTCTCTCGCTCTCTCCTGATTGCCTGCCCTCCGTGCTCGTCCCTCGTGGCCTGTTCGCTCCCCCGCTGCTCGCTCGTGCTCGTTGCCCCTCGTGCCCTGCTCGTGCGCCGTGGCTGCCCCTGCTCTTCGCTCGCCTGCGCGCCCTTGTGTTTGCTCGTCGCCGCGTCCTTTTCGCGTCCGCCTTGTCGTCGCCTTGTCGCCCTCGCGTTCGGCTGTCGCTGTTGCCTCGCGCGGGGTCGTCCTGGCTTGTGCTTGTCGGCGTGCTTGCTCGCTCGCTCGGCGTCGCGTTGCCTCGCTTTTCCCGTCGCCGTCGCCCCTGTGTGCCCCCTTTGCTTTCCCTTCCGCCGCTTGCCGCTTGGCGCCTGCCTTGCTGCTTCTGCCTTCGTGCCTGGCGGTTGCCTGCTTGCCTGCCTGCTCCCTCGTCGTTTTGCCGGTGGCTCGTCTCTCTTGGGCGCGGGCCCTCGCTGGCGCGGGCCCTGTGGGCACCTCGCTCGCGTCGCCTTGGCCTTTCGGCCAGGCTGCGTGCCAGGCTCGCGGCAAGGGCGCTCCTGGTCTCGGGCAAGGCGCAGGCCCCAGGGCCAAGTTTCGCGCGGGGGAGGGCGCAGGCCTTAGGATCCCTGTGTTTTGGGTCGGGCGCTGGCCCCAGGACCCGATCGTGCGTAAGGGGGGGGGGCGCATCCCGTAGATCCCTGTCTTGGGTAGGGCGCAGGCCCCAGGACCCGACGGTGCGAAGGGGGGAGGGCGCATCCCGTAGATCCCTGTCTTGGGTAGGGCGCAGGCCCCAGGACCCAGTGGTGCGAAAGGGGGGGGCGCATCCCGTTGATCCCTGTGCGTCGGGTAGGGCGCAGGCCCCAGGACCCAACTGTGCGAAAGGGGGAGGGCGCATCCCGTTGATCCCTGTCTTGGGTAGGGCGCAAGCCCCTGGGCCCCGTCTTGCTGGGCACCGCTCTCCTCGCGGGTCGGCCCGCGGGCCTTGTCTCGGGCAGGGCGCTGGCTTCTGGCTCCTCGTCTTGTGTGGGGGAGGGCGCTGGCCCCTGGTACCGCGTCTTGGGTAGGGCGCAGGCCCCAGGACCCAATCGTGCGAAAGGGGGAGGGCGCATCCCGTAGATCCCTGTCTTGGGTAGGGCGCAGGCCCCAGGATCCCGTCTGGCTGGGCTCTGGCTTCTTCTTGGGAGAGCTCCCGGGCCTTCTCCTGGGTTGGGCGCAGGCCCCTGGTCTCCCCCCTCTCGTGAGGGGCGCAGGCCAGGTCGCCACCTCTTGGGGTCCCGCGCAGTCTCCGTCCTGTGCGCGCTCGCACCGGCAGCTCGCCGAGTTCGGGCGCCCAAGCTGTCTCGCGCCGCGCGGCGCCGCTCTTCGCGATGGGCGACCTCGGCAGTTTTCTTGGCGCCTTGGACGGCGCATCGGCGCGCGTGGCCGGTTGGCTCGAAGCCACGGTGACCGCGCTCAAGGGCCAAGGTGTGGCGACGATCGCCGATTTAGAGGGCGCGGCATTCGAGGATTTCTCTTTTGCCGACAAGGAGCTCGACGCCGCGCAGAAGCGCCTCGTGCGCGCGGGGATCGCCGCGGCGAGAACGCCGGCGCCGGTGGCTGGGGGCTCGGCGGCGACCGCCCCTCCAGCGCCCTCGGCGGCGGAGAACGCGGCCGCCCTCTTGGCCGCGCTCAAGACGGGCACCAGCGAGGCGCAAGCGATCTCGACGCGATCTCGGGCTCGCGTGGCCCCGCGCGGCGCGTTCGCAGGAAAAGCCGGCCCGCGTACTCTTGGGCCCTCTCCTCGGCAAGGCGTCGCTGGCCAACCTCCCGCAAGAGTTCTGGCCCAGGCGCGCTCGCGCGCGCGCGCTGGTTCTCGCATCTGGTCCCGTGCGCCGGTAGCTCCGACATGCTTGACGCGTTGAACGCGGAAGTCTTGAAGCGGCAGAAGAAGGAATCCAGCGAGGAAGCGCGCGTCTTCCTGTACTCGGACATCCGCAAGTGGGTGCCCGAGTGGGCCCGCTCGGGCCCTCGCGATTTCGAAGAGGAGGCTGGCGGATCGTCCGGCGCCAGCAAGGACATTCGTGACCTCGCCAAGGCTCGTGCCGCGCGCGCGTTGCCTGGCCCGCGCGCGGGCGCTCGCCCCGCAGGAAGTGGCGGCGGCGAAGAAAGGGCCCGAGAAGAAGGCCTACTTAACCTTCTGCCAGTGGCAACTGGCTTGGAACCGGCGCCACCTGCCCGTCGCGCGCCCCCCCCGCGCGCCTGCCTGTTATCGCGCCGCGCGCGGCAGGTGCATGGTCGCGCTGGTCGCCACGGGCCAGCTCACGTGGGCTGAGGTGCAGGCGCATCGCGACAACTGCTTGAAGGTGGCGGTTCAGGCTGCACGCGCGCGATTTCTCGTCGCTCTCTGTTGTTGCCGCGCAGGCGGCGGCCTCGAAGCGCCGCGTGCACCTCGGTATCGTGTGCGACGAGGAGGCGCGGAAGGCGCGCCCCTGCGTTCGTGCTTGCGCGGCGCCCTGCGTCTGTGCCGGCGCGTGGCAGCTATGGGCCGAGCAGCTACGCTCGGGGGACCCAGATTTCAAGCTGGGGAAGACGATCCTGCGGGTCGACCCGCGCGCCCTACAGCTGGCGCGGGATGCTTGCGACAAAGAAGACGGCGCCACCCACGCGACGGCGAGCGTCGCGCCGCGCGGATTCGCTTCTGCCACATTTCTCCGCCGTTTCCGCGCGCGCAGGCACCGGCGGCCCGCGCTCCCGAGAAGGCGCGCGGGGCGGGCGGCGCCAGCCAGCCGTGGCGCGCCGCGCAGAGCTGGAGCAGCGGCTCCTGGGGCAGCGATTGGCCGAAGGGCCAGAAGCGCGAGCGCTCGTGGGGCAGCGATTGGAAGAAAAAGGACACGAGGCAGGCACGGACGCCGCCGCGCCCGGCGCAGCGCTGAGCGCCGCCCTGGCAGGGCGCGCGCGAGCCCCCGTAGGGGTGGAGCCCCTTCAGCCGTCAGAACGGCTCGCGCGCAAAAGCCTGCCTCCGCCCGCGCCGGGTCGGGGCCGTGACCCGGGCGCGCCCGATAGTTCTACGCTTTGTCGCTAAAAATGGCCCCGTGCGCCGTGCGCAGGACCCCCACTCGCATGCTGGGACATGCCGCGTGCGCTGTTGCCGCGGAGGCCGCTTCGCTTTCCGCGCCGCGCTGCGAGTGCCCGGCTTGGCCGCGGCCAGCCTGGGCGGGGCGTGCGGGGGAGTTCCGCGGGGCAGCGTGCGTTCCGAGGGCGCTTTTCGCTACGCTTTGGCGCCTTGTCCACGTCCGCGGTTTGCAATCTTGCGCAATGCCTGCCGTGCCGGTGCCGCCCCCGCCGCCCGCATCTGGCGCGCGAAAGCGGGCGGCGCCTGGGGCTGCATGCGTCGTCGCCAAATCTCGCAAGGCGCGCTTTCCCGGCTCTCGGTCGCGCGCGAGCCAGCGGCGCGCGTCAGGTGATGCCGGCGCCGCCAGCGCCACCAGGGCCGCAATTCAGGAGCGATTGGTCTCGGCGTTGCAGCGACAGCGCGTGGCGCGACATCTGCGTCGCGGCCGGCGGCTGTAGCGGCGGCGACGCGGAGAAACTTACCTTTCTGGCAAGGGCGCTGGACGGCGACCCCGCGCTCTGGGGCAAGTGGCGGCCCGCCGCGGCCTCGGCTTTGCCGCCCACGGCCGCTGAGGCAGTGCGGTGGGCCGCGCAGACCGCCCCCGCCGACGTGGTGGCTTTCCGCGAGGGCGAACTCGCGGCGCTTCGCGAAAGGGATCGGGCTCTCCGGGCCAGTGGCGCCGTGGAAGAATGGTTCCGGGGGGTGGACCCCGCCATGCGGCGCGTCGCACAGCGCGTGAACGGGCCTCTCTGCGCAGAGATCGCGGAGCGCATTGCCTTCTGCGACCCAGGCTGCGTGGAATTCTTCAGGACGGGGGCGCCCCTCGTCGGCGAGCTCCCGCGGTCGGGCCACGGCAGCCCAGAGGTGTTCCCTCCCCGTCTGGGCATCGCGGAGCTGCTCGGCAACGCCGAGTCGACAAATCGCGACATTTCCTGTGGCCTCCGCGACGGCGCGCACGGCGACGCCATCCTCCGCAAGACACGGGACGAGGCCGAGCTGGGGCGCATCAGTTGCCCGGTGCCGCTCCGCGACGTGTGCCTGGACGGGGCCGTCATCGCTCCGAGGTTTGCGGTTGAGCAGCTCCGTGAAGACGGGTCCTCGAAACTCCGGTTGGTCGACGACATGACCAAGGCTAGGATTAACGAGGCGACGCGGCCTCAGGAGCGGCTCCACCACGATGCCGTGGACGCGCTTTTCGAAGCAGCTCGCATCTTCCAGGAAGTTGCGGGGCGGGCACCCGCCCTCTGGAAGGCAGACATCGACGCTGCCTTTCGTCGCGTGCCCATTCGCGCTGAGCACCGCCGGTTCGCTTGGATCGTGTTCAGCGCCGCCGGGCAGGTCTGGGCGGCGCAGCACGCGGCAGCGCCCTTCGGGGCCACGTCGTCGGTGCACAGCTGGGCGCGAGTGGGTGCCTTCATCGCGGAGGCGGCGCGCGTGCTCTTGCGGATCGCCGCGCTGCGATACGTGGATGATTATTTTGGGCCGGATCACCCCGAAGTGGTGGAGCACGCAGCAGCGCAGCTGGCGGAGCTAATTCAGCTGATGCTCGGCCCAGGCGCGGTGGCGCCGGACAAGATCGCCTGGGGGTCCCCGCTGGTCATCCTCGGCCTCGAAATCAAGGCGGGGCGGCCTTGGCGCGACGCGCCGGCCGGCCGGCTGCGCGCATCGCCAGGTGCTGCCACGCGCGTTCTGCGCGCGTCCCGCACCCGCGAAGACCGCCAAGTGGCAGCGTGTCATCGGCGAGGCGCTCGCGACGCGCGCCCTCGCGCCAGGCGGCTCGCGCGTCCCCCCTAATGTGTCGGGACCTTGCGTTCGCTGTGCAGGCGCATCGTCCAAGCTGGCCGGGGGCTTGGCCTGGGCAGCGTCGCATCTCTTCCGCCGCCTGGGGCGCGCCCTCCTCAGGCGCGGCGCTGCCCCCGCGCGCCCGGGGGGGCGGGGCGCCGCGCTTCGTGCTCGCAGGCCGTTGTACGCGCAATCGCATCGCGGGGCATCGAAGGCCCATGAGCCGTTGATGCTTGCCCTGCAGTGGTGGCGCGATGTCTTGGCCATGGACTTGTGCCAAGCGCGGCCGTGGGCCGACAAGGCGCGGCCTCGCGCAACTCTCTTCGCGGACGCGTCGGGCTAACCACCGTGCGTGGCCGCGGTGCTCGTCACCGCCACGGGCATCCGTTTAACTTCCATGGTCGTCCCGGATTCCTTGATGGCGTCGTTCCAGCGTCGCCGGGACAACCAGATTCAGGGGCTGGAGCTCCTGTCTATCGCGCTGGGCATGTGCACCTTTGCAGGCATTGCTTTCGCGTGCGACTGCCCGCGCCGGCGGGCAGGTCCGGCCCCTCGTCTTCGCTGCGCTCAGGGGAAGTGCAAGGTTGCGACTTGCATATTTACAGCGACAATACCGGCGCGGAGTCTTGCCTGCGGAAGGGCGCCGCGAAATCCTTCGACCACTCGTGCATCGTCCACTCCATGTGGAGGCGCGCGGTGGAGCTCGACGTTGACCTCGCGGTTTTCCGCGTGCCCACGGCTGAGAATCTGGCCGATTTGCCTTCTCGGCGCGCCCGTGCGCGCCGCGCGGTGCTGCGGGCTGGCCGCGGGCGCAGCGTGTCGCAGGGGGGGCGACGAACTCCTGCTACGCATCGGCGCGGTGCGCACGCGCCCGTGGCTCGACGAAGAATTCTGGCACGCGGATGCCTGGGGCGCTCTCTCTGTGGCCCGCCTCTTCGGCTAAACCGCGCGCCATGTCGCGCCCGGGTGCCATCTTGTGCGTCGGGGCGTCGCGATACTTAAGTTTGGGCGCGGCAAAGCGTTCGGCGCGCCGCCGCGCTTGTCATCCTAGGGTCCCGCGTTTTGTCGCAAGCGGAGTGCACGCGGCCAGTGCCTCAGGCGCGTCGCTCGCATTGTCAGGCGTGCCGCGCGGCATCATGTCGTTATTCCTTGAATTGTGTTCCTTGCGCCCGACAGCGCCCAGGACGGCCGTCGCCTGGGCTGCTGATTTCCTGGCTGAGAACGGCTTCGTACGAGCCTGCGAGCTCGCCAGTGCAGACGCCGCAGACCTGGAAGGTTGGCCGGTCACCGCGCAGGCCAATGTCGAAGTCCTGCACGAATTATTCAGAGCCGCGAAGATTGCTGCGCGCCGAGGCTCGGCTGCGCGAGGGTTTTTGGCGCGCGCGGCCCCCCCCCCCGCCGCGCGTGCGCCTCGCAGGCGCGCCCGTCGCCGTGGGCTCGGCAGTTGGAGGGCGCGCGCCCGCCCGCAGCCGGTCGCCGGCGAGACGCGCGGCGCCGAGCGCCCCGGGGTCACCCCCTGGGCCGCCACAGGCGCGCGTCATCGGCCCCGCGCGCTTGCGCATGCCCGCGCGCCGTGGCTCGCGAGGCGCCCGTCCCGAGCGTCCTCGACCAGCTGGGCGCGCCGGTCGCGCTGCCAATGACGCGCGGGCCCCGGGCGGCGCTCGCCGAGGCCGCTGCTCGCCTCCGCAGTCCGGCGGACGCGGCCCGCTGGCGGGAGGAGGAACGCGTTCGCGCTATGCTGCAACCATGCGCACGGTCGCTCCCAAGCGTGAGAAGCGGCCTCAAATGCTGGGAGGCCTACTGCATCAGAATGTTGAAATACCCGTGCATGCAGCTCCCGCCAGCCTGCGCGGACCTGGTCGCCTGGAGCGCCCTCTTTCGCTGCGGGGAGACGTACGCAAATTACTGCAGCTACGTTAAGATCGGCTGCCTCCTGACTGGGGTCTGCGTCGCCGTGTTCGACCGCCCCGAGGTCAGGCGTGCGCGCGCCGCCGTCCGGGCGCGGGCCGATTGGACTCCGCGCCCGCGCTTGTTCATCCGTAAGAGCGCGGTCGCCGCGCTGGTCGAGTTGGGCGCGCGCCGCCCCGAGTGGCTCCGCGCGTCGATGCTTTTCCTTTTCGCCTACACGTTCTTGTTGCGCGTTCCCAGCGAGGCGTTGCCGGCCGTGCGCGTGGCCGACGCCGGCGACGCGCCGCCCTTTCAAGCGGCGCTAGTGCTGGGCAAATCGGAGCTCACGCTGCTGCTGCGGCGGCGGAAGAACCGGCCGCAGGGCAGTCGCCTGTCGCGGAAGTGCTGGTGCTCATCGTGCCGCGCCACGTGCCCCGTGCACACCCTGGGCCCCTGGGTGGCGCGTTGCGGGCTGGGCCGCGGGCTCTTCGGAGGCATCTCGGCGGCTGCTGCGCTGCGGACCCTGCGCGAGATGCTCGCTGCCCTCGGTGTCCAGGGGGCGAGCCTGTTTCGGTTGCATGACCTCCGCAGGGGCCACGCCAAGGACCTGCAGGAGGCTGGCGCGACGCTGGCCGAGATTCTCGCGGCCGGGGAGTGGCGGTCCTGCGCTTTCATGGCGCATCTCGACCGTGACGATCTGGAAAGGGACGCGGTCGTGGAGGCGGGGCCACGCGCCCTCCGCCCGCGCCGCGGCGCGCTGCTCGCGCCAGGCGCACATGCTGGAGTCGGATTCGGACGAGGGTGCCTGCTAGGCGCCGGCGGCCAGCGCCGCCACGTTTCGCTTCTGTGCGTGGGCGGGTGCGCGCGACGGCGCCCGTGCTCTGCCCCCGCGCGTTCGGCAGCGGGTGGGCGCGCGTTGCCGGCCCGTGTCGCCTGCGTGCCGTGTGGCATTGGGTCTGCACGCAGGCGTGGCGCGAGGCCGCCCAAGCGGCGGCGCGTCGGGCCTGGGCCCGTCGCAGCCGCCCGCGGGGGGCAGCCTCGCTCCGCGCCGCTCCCACCGACGGCGGCAGCAGGCGGGGTCGAGGCCCTGCACGCGCGGCTCGATTTGTGGTAGGCCCACGGCGGCAAGTCCGCTCGCAGACGCGGACGTTCACCGTTGTGGGCGGGCACAAATCGGCCACGGTTGCGCGTAGGTCGCGCGCGCGGCAGTGCGACGCGACCGCGGCCTCGCTGCGCAGGCGCGGGCCATCGCGCCGTCGCGCGCCAGGGTTGCGCGTCGCGGGGGGGGGGTCGCTGCCCCGCGGCGCGTGCGCTTCGCAGGTGATTTGCTAGCGCCGGGGTTGCGTCGCCGCGGGGGGGGGTCGCTGCCCCCGCGGCGCGTGCGCTTCGCAGGCGATTTGCATTTGGAGGAGGCGCCGCGCGCGCGCCCCGCGCGCGCGCGCGGCGGGTGCCTCCCTGGCGCGCGTTCTTTCTCCCACCCTCCGCCCTGTCTGCTGCGCGCAGGCGTGGCGCGAGGCCGCCCAAGCGGCGGTGCGTCGGGCCTGGGCCCGTCGCAGCCGCCCGCGGGGGGCAGCCTCGCGCCGCGCCGCTCCCACCGACGGCGGCAGCAGGCGGGGTCGAGGCCCTGCACGCGCGGCTCGATTTGTGTGTGCCCACCACCACCACCGCCACCACTCTCCCGCGGCCCGACCCCAGGGGTCTCCAGAGGTTCCACGGGGGAGAGTTTCAGAAAACATCCAAGCGCACTGAGAACCTCGATCTCCCGTCCCTCACAAGGGGGCGGAAGGGGGGCGTGGCGCGCCCGACAGCGACGACGGCGGCGACGACGACGACGACGACGACGACGACGACGACGACTGCGACGACGACGACGACGACGACGACGACGACGACGACGACGACGACGACGACGACGACGACGACGACGACGACCCCCCTGCCGCCGCAAGGACGTGTTGAGCCCCGTCCCCAAGGGGTTCGGCCGCTCTGGCAGCTTCCGCGACTCGATGTGTGCGGCGCCCCTGCCGGAGGCCTCACCTCTCTCGTCTCCTCTCCTCGAGGGCGGCGGCGACGAGGATGAGGCGGAGCGCGATCGGCCACGCGCAGAGGGGGGGAAGGGGGGAAGGGGGAAGGCTTCTCAGAAGCACCCCTGCTTCTTAGAAGGCGCGGGCCTTGTCTGTTGATAGAAGGCCCGCGCCCTCTAAGCAGCAGTCTGCTTCTAGGAACCCTTCCCCCCTCCCCCTACCCCCCTCTGCGCGCCGCCAAAACGAGGACGGGAGGACGAGGGCGAGGCCGACGACGAAAATTCCAGGGACAAGCGATGACGTAAACGTAAGTTTCGGAGATCCGCGCGAATTTCCCGGATCGTCGAAGGAGCCCCCCCCTCCCCGGCGGCGCCTCCGGCGCCGATCCGAAAAATGCGCGCGGACTTCCGACAGTTCATGCTTATGTCATTGTTTGCGGCGGCGGCGCCGCCGCCGCCGTTTTCTTTTTCCTTCGATCGGCCTTGGGGACCACCCTCGCCACGGCCGGATGCGGCTCGGGAAACGGGTCAGGATGGTACTGGGGAGGGTGGTTGATTTGGAGCGGGGTCGGTTGGGTCCTCGTCGACGCCGTCATCGAGCTTGTCGAAGCCGTCGTCGAACTCCCCCTCCTCGTCTTTGTCCGCGTCTTTGTCCCAAGGGGCCCGCCACAGCGGGAAGCGATGTGTTGCGGGAGCGGGCGCCCAGATGGTAGACATGAGAAGGGGAGAAGTGGGAGGAGCTAGGAGGAGGAGGAGGAGGAGGAGGAGGAGCTAGGAGGAGGAGGAGCTAGGAGGAAGAGGAGGAGGAGGAGGAGGAGATGGAGATGGAGATGGAGATGGAGGAGGAGGAGGAGAAGGAGCTAGGAGGAAGAGGGCATTGGATCTGAAAGTGGTTGGTTGGCGTTTTTTCCCCTAAACCCCCAGTCCTCGAATCCCACAACCCCCCAACCGCCCAACCCTCCAACCCCCCAACCCCAAAACTCCCCAATCCTCCCACTCCCAACCCCCCAACGCCTCAACCCTCAAACTCCCCAACTCCTCAACCCGTCAACCCCCACCCCCCCCAACCCCCAATCTCCCAACTCCCTAATTCCTCATCCCCCCCACCCCTCAACCTCCCAACCCCATGAGGTGGCGGGTGTTGATGGGTTGGGGAGTTGGGGAGTTGGGGGGTTGGGGAGTTGCGGGCTTGATGGTTTGCGGGGTTGGGGTGTGGGGGGTGGGGATTTGGGGGGACTGGAGGGTTGGGGGGTTGGAATGTTGGTCGGTTGGGGGATTCGGGGTTTGTGGAGTTGGGGAGTTCAAGGGGTGGGGGGTTGAGGGTGTTGGAAGGTTTGAGTGTTGGACGCTTGCGAGGGTAGGGGTTGGGGGGGTGGGGTGAATTTAGGTGTCAGGGGGTCAGGGGGTTGGGGGGGTGAGGGGTTGGGGTGGGTGGGGGTTGGGGGGGTGCGGGGCTTGGGGGTTGGGGAGCTACGGGGTTGGGAGGTTGGAGTGTTGGGCGGTTCAAGGATTGGGGGGTTGAGGGGGTTGGAGGGTCGGGGGGGTTCACATCCTGGAGGGGTTTCTGATGTCGCTGGGTTGGGGGGTGGGTGGGAGGTTACGAGGTTTCACCCCAGGGGTTTCTGATATCACACCGTTGGGAGGTTGTGGGGTTGGGGGCTTGGGAGGTTTCACCTTCCTGAGGGGTTTGTGATAGCACGGGGTTGGGGGGTTTCACCCCCCTTGAAGGGTTTCTGATGTCACAGGGTTGGGGGGTCGGGGGTTGGTGTGTTTCACTCCCTGGAGAGGTTTCTGATCTCCCGGGATTGGGGGTTTGAGGGCTTTCACCCTTCTGAAGTCACAGGGTTGGGAGGTTTACGGGTTTGGGGTTTCACCCCCTGGAGGGGGTTCTGATGTCCTCAGGTTTGGAGGGGGTGGGCGGCTTGGGCGGTTCCCCCCCCCCGAGAGGTTTCTGATGTCACAGGGCTGGGGGATAAAAAAGCCCAAAACCAACCACCTTCAGATGCGCAGGGGAGGAGGAGGAGTAGGAGTAGGAGTAGGAGGAGGAGGAGGAGGAAGAGGAGGAGGAGGAGGAGGAGGCAGAGGAGGCAGAAGAGGAGGAGGAGGAGGAGGAGGAGGAGGAGGAGGAGAAAGAAGAAGAGGCGAGGATAACCCAGGACGCATCAACGATAATGCAGTACCGTACGGCCTCCCGTCCCAAGCCTCCTCTTCCTTAACCACGAAAGCGCCCCATTGGAAAGGCGAGCGCCCCACGGACTTGCCGTGGAGGCGAGAGCCCCGTTTTGAAAAGGAGCTGCGCTCCACCTGGCTAGCTGTAAGAGGCACCAGGGAGCAAGCAAACAGTCCGATCGAGTCAAAGCTCAGGCATCACTGTTGGTGCTCGATTGAAAATTGCACGAAATCGTCTTCGCGCGTTGCATAATCACTGGTCAGCGTCGCTTCTAGCCAATCTGTTCCAAAGTAAGCGTTCGAGAATCTTCGCAAATAGTCGTCCCAATTCACTGCGAGTCGCCCACGTCCACGTCCGGCTCCAGGAAACGTTGTAGGGGGATGCCAATGAGATAATCTTGCAGGCCAGCTACCAATCATACTGCCCACTCGATAAGCTAATCTGAACTGCCTGCGCAGCAACTGAGCGCCCCAGTCTTCCATCGGGTATTTCGTCAAGGCAGAATCGACTTTCAATCGCATCCTTCGCATTGTGTCTTCCCACGGCTCGTCCACGAGACGGGTCCAGCCAGCAATTTTTCGAAGCATTCGCCGCTGCAGTGCGTCCAGTGAGCACATCCGCGCCCGTGTCATCGCACATGACGACAGTCCAAACGTGATCGTTGGCGTGATCACCCTGTTGAAAAACTCGATCCGGGAGTATATGCTCAGGTGCTCGTTGGTCAAGGCGCGAGCACGGGGGCGAGGTCGGGCGCGCGCCGACGCGCATTTTTCGGCCTCCGAGTGAGAGGCCTGCGCACGCCCCTCACGGCGACGCCTGGACGAGGGCGCTGCTCGCACGGGCGAGGAGCGCACACCACCTTACTCGGGAAAAGAGAGGAGGGCGTGTTCCGCACGGCGGCCAAGAAGGTCTGCCCCGCGGGCCTCTGCACAGGCCTTGGCTAATGCCATGATCGACACGCTGTTAGAATTCGTGTCCTCCGAGCTCGGCTCCACTGAGCCGGAAGGAGAGGGGTGTCCAGAGGTGAGCGGTCTCAGGGTTTTTTCGCGGGGTCGGTTCCGGAGGAAGGGGAGGGCCAAGAGTGGGCCAGTCGGCGAACCAGGAGTTGTCGGCCCGATCCCGAGCGTCATCGGTTCCGTCGGCCCGAGGTCCGCGCCGCGGCCATGCCGTGCCCCCCCTTTCCGAAGAGCCAGACAGCAGGGGCCCCTGTCCGACCCCCGACCCTCTGGAAGACCTCACCCGAGAGGACATCTTCGCTGCCGTTGTAGGCCTCGAGTCCCCCTCGTCCCCTGTCTCCGTGCCTCCGCCTCCTGTCCATGCCCCTCCCGCTCCCCTGACCGAGCAGCAGCGAGAGCGAATTGCGAGGAACCGAGACGAAGCGATCCGGAGGAGGCACCTCAGGAGGGCCCCGTGGATTGTTCAGGCCAATGTGCGGTTCAACTTCTAACTCTCGGGGGCCCCTTCATAAGTTGAGGGCGCCTTCTGCCTCGACGCAGGGGTGCGTCGCGGTTTGACCCTCGGCATACGCAGCTGCGTTCAAGCCTGTGCCCACCACCACCACCGCCACCACCCTCCCGCGGCCCGACCCCAGGGGTCTCCAGAGGTTCCACGGGGGAGAGTTTCAGAAAACATCCAAGCGCACTGAGAACCTCGATCTCCCGTCCCTCACAGGGGGGCGGAGGAGGGCGTGGCGCGCCCGACAGCGACGACGACGACGACGACGACGACGACGACGACGGCGACGACGACGACGACGACGACGACGACGACGACGACGACGACGACGACGACGACCCTCCTGCCACCGCAAGGACGTGTTGAGCCCCGTCCCCAAGGGGTTCGGCCGCTCTGGCAGCTTCCGCGACCCGATGTGTGCGGCGCCCCTGCCGGAGGCCTCTCCTCTCTCGTCTCCTCTCCTCGAGGGCGGCGGCGACGAGGATGAGGCGGAGAACGATCGGCCACGCGCAGAGGGGGGTAGGCGGGAAGGGGGAAGGCTTCTCAGAAGCACCCCTGCTTCTTAGAAGGCGCAGGCCTTGTCTGTTGAAAGAAGGCCCGCGCCCTCTCAGCAGCAGTCTGCTTCTAGGAACCCTTCCCCCCTCCCCCTACCCCCCTCTGCGCGCCGCCAAAACGAGGACGGGAGGACGAGGGCGAGGCCGACGACGAAAACTCCAGGGACAAGCGATGACGTAAACGTAAGTTTCGGAGATCCGCGCGAATTTCCCGGATCGTCGAAGGAGCCCCCCCCCTCCCCGGCGGCGCCTCCGGCGCCGATCCGAAAAATGCGCGCGGGCTTCCGACAGTTCATGCTTATGTCATTGTTTGCGGCGGCGCCGCCGCCGCCGTTTTCCTTTTCCCTCTATCGGCCTTGGGGACCACCCTCGCCACGGCCGGATGCGGCTCGGGAAACGGGTCAGGATGGTGCTGGGGAGGGTGGTTGATTTGGAGCGGGGTCGGTTGGGTCCTCGTCGACGCCGTCATCGAGCTTGTCGAAGCCGTCGTCGAACTCCCCCTCCTCGTCTTTGTCCGCGTCTTTGTCCCAAGGGGCCCGCCACAGCGGGAAGCGATGTGTTGCGGGAGCGGGCGCCCAGATGGTAGACATGAGAAGGGGAGAAGTGGGAGGAGCTAGGAGGAGGAGGAGGAGGAGGAGGAGGAGCTAGGAGGAGGAGGAGCTAGGAGGAAGAGGAGGAGGAGGAGGAGGAGGAGGAGGAGGAGGAGGAGAATGGAGATGGAGGAGGAGGAGGAGGAGGAGGAGGAGAAGGAGCTAGGAGGAAGAGGGCATTGGATCTGAAAGTGGTTGGTTGGCGTTTTTTCCCCTAAACCCCCAGTCCTCGAATCCCACAACCCCCCAACCGCCCAACCCTCCAACCCCCCAACCCCCCAACCCCAAAAACTCCCCAATCCTCCCACTCCCAACCCCCCAACGCCTCAACCCTCAAACACCCCAACTCCTCAACCCGTCAACCCCCAACCCCCCCAACCCCCAATCTCCCAACCCCCTAATTCCTCATCCCCCCCACCCCTCAACCTCCCAACCCCATGAGGTGGCGGGTGTTGATGGGTTGGGGAGTTGGGGGGTTGGGGAGTTGCGGGCTTGATGGTTTGCGGGGTTGGGGTGATTGGGGGGTGGGGATTTGGGGGGACTGGAGGGTTGGGGGGTTGGAATGTTGGTCGGTTGGGGGATTCGGGGTTTGTGGAGTTGGGGAGTTCAAGGGGTGGGGGGTTGAGGGTGTTGGAAGGTTTGAGTGTTGGGCGCTTGCGAGGGTAGGGGTTGGGGGGGTGGGGTGAATTTAGGTGTCAGGGGGTCAGGGGGTTGGGGGGCTGAGGTGTTGGGGTGGGTGGGGGTTGGGGGGGTGCGGGGCTTGGGGGTTGGGGAGCTACGGGGTTGGGAGGTTGGAGTGTTGGGCGGTTCAAGGATTGGGGGGTTGAGGGGGTTGGAGGGTCGGGGGGGTTCACATCCTGGAGGGGTTTCTGATGTCGCTGGGTTGGGGGGTGGGTGGGAGGTTACGAGGTTTCACCCCAGGGGTTTCTGATATCACACCGTTGGGAGGTTGTGGGGTTGGGGGCTTGGGAGGTTTCACCTTCCTGAGGGGTTTCTGATAGCACGGGGTTGGGAGGTTTCACCCCTCTTGAAGGGTTTCTGATGTCACAAGGTTGGGGGGTCGGGGGTTGGGTTGTTTCACTCCCTGGAAAGGTTTCTGATCTCCTGGGATTGGGGGTTTGAGGGCTTTCACCCTTCTGATGTCACAGGGTTGGGAGGTTTACGGGTTTGGGGTTTCACCCCCTGGAGGGGGTTCTGATGTCCTCAGGTTTGGAGGGGGTGGGCGGCTTGGGCGGTTTCCCCCCCCGAGAGGTTTCTGATGTCACAGGGTTGGGGGATAAAAAAGCCCCAAACCAACCACCTTCAGATGCGCAGGGGAGGAGGAGGAGTAGGAGCAGGAGGAGGAGGAGGAGGAGGAGGAGGAGGAGGAGGAGGAGGAGCCAGAGGATGCAGAAGAGGAGGAGGAGGAGGAGGAGGAGGAGGAGGAGGAGGAAGAAGAAGAAGAGGCGAGCATAACCCAGGACGCATCAACGATCATGCAGTACCGTACGGCCTCCCGTCTCAAGCCCCCTCTTCCTTAACCACGAAAGCGCCCCACTGGAAAGGCGAGCGCCCCACGGACTTGCCGTGGAGGCGAGAGCCCCGTTTTGAAAAGGAGCTGCGCTCCACCTGGCTAGCTGTAAGAGGCGCCAGGGAGCAAGCAAGCAGTCCGATCGAGTCAAAGCTCAGGCATCACTGTTGGTGCTCGATTGAAAATTGCACGAAATCGTCTTCGCGCGTTGCATAATCACTGGTCAGCGTCGCTTCTAGTCAGTCTGTTCCAAAGTAAGCGTTTGAGAATCTTCGCAAATAGTCGTCCCAATTCACTGCGAGTCGCCCACGTCCACGTCCGGCTCCAGGAAACGTTGTAGGGGGATGCCAACGAGATAATCTTGCAGGCCAGCTACCAATCATACTGCCCACTCGACAAGCTAATCTGAACTGCCTGCGCAGCAACTGAGCGCCCCAGTCTTCCATCGGGTATTTCGTCAAGGCAGAATCGACTTCAATCGCATCCTTCGCATTGTGTCTTCCCACGGCTCGTCCACGAGACGGGTCCAACCAGCAATTTTTCGAAACATTCGCCGCTGCAGTGCGTCCAGTGAGCACATCCGCGCCCGTGTCATCGCACATGACGAAAGTCCAAACGTAATCGTTGGCGTGATCACCCTGTTGAAAAACTCGATCCGGGAGTATATGCTCAGGTGCTCGTTGGTCAAGGCGCGAGCACGGGGGCGAGGTCGGGCGCGCGCCGACGCGCATTTTTCGGCCTCCGAGTGAGAGGCCTGCGCACGCCCCTCACGGCGACGCCTGGACGAGGGCGCTGCTCGCACGGGCGAGGAGCGCACACCACCTTACTCGGGAAAAGAGAGGAGGGCGTGTTCCGCACGGCGGCCAAGAAGGTCTGCCCCGCGGGCCTCTGCACAGGCCTTGGCTAATGCCATGATCGACACGCTGTTAGAATTCGTGTCCTCCGAGCTCGGCTCCACTGAGCCGGAAGGAGAGGGGTGTCCAGAGGTGAGCGGTCTCAGGGTTTTTTCGCGGTGTCGGTTCCGGAGGAAGGGGAGGGCCAAGAGTGGGCCAGTCGGCGAACCAGGAGTTGTCGGCCCGATCCCGAGCGTCATCGGTTCCGTCGGCCCGAGGTCCGCGCCGCGGCCATGCCGTGCCCCCCCTTTCCGAAGAGCCAGACAGCAGGGGCCCCTGTCCGACCCCCGACCCTCTGGAAGACCTCACCCGAGAGGACATCTTCGCTGCCGTTGTAGGCCTCGAGTCCCCCTCGTCCCCTGTCTCCGTGCCTCCGCCTCCTGTCCATGCCCCTCCCGCTCCCCTGACCGAGCAGCAGCGAGAGCGAATTGCGAGGAACCGAGACGAAGCGATCCGGAGGAGGCACCTCAGGAGGGCCCCGTGGATTGTTCAGGCCAATGTGCGGTTCAACTTCTAACTCTCGGGGGCCCCTTCATAAGTTGAGGGCGCCTTCTGCCTCGACGCAGGGGTGCGTCGCGGTTTGACCCTCGGCATACGCAGCTGCGTTCAAGCCTGTGCCCACCACCACCACCACCGCCACCACCCTCCCGCGGCCCGACCCCAGGGGTCTCCAGAGGTTCCACGGGGGAGAGTTTCAGAAAACATCCAAGCGCACTGAGAACCTCGATCTCCCGTCCCTCACAGGGGGGCGGAGGAGGGCGTGGCGCGCCCGACAGCGACGACGACGACGACGACGACGACGACGACGACGGCGACGACGACGACGACGACGACGACGACGACGACGACGACGACGACGACGACGACGACCCTCCTGCCGCCGCAAGGACGTGTTGAGCCCCGTCCCCAAGGGGTTCGGCCGCTCTGGCAGCTTCCGCGACCCGATGTCGATGTGTGCGGCGCCCCTGCCGGAGGCCTCTCCTCTCTCGTCTCCTCTCCTCGAGGGCGGCGGCGACGAGGATGAGGCGGAGAACGATCGGCCACGCGCAGAGGGGGGTAGGGGGGAAGGGGGAAGGCTTCTCAGAAGCACCCCTGCTTCTTAGAAGGCGCGGGCCTTGTCTGTTGATAGAAGGCCCGTGCCCTCTAAGCAGCAGTCTGCTTCTAGGAACCCTTCCCCCCTCCCCCTACCCCCCTCTGCGCGCCGCCAAAACGAGGACGGGAGGACGAGGGCGAGGCCGACGACGAAAATTCCAGGGACAAGCGATGACGTAAACGTAAGTTTCGGAGATCCGCGCGAATTTCCCGGATCGTCGAAGGAGCCCCCCCCCTCCCCGGCGGCGCCTCCGGCGCCGATCCGAAAAATGCGCGCGGGCTTCCGACAGTTCATGCTTATGTCATTGTTTGCGGCGGCGGCGCCGCCGCCGCCGTTTTCCTTTTCCCTCTATCGGCCTTGGGGACCACCCTCGCCACGGCCGGATGCGGCTCGGGAAACGGGTCAGGATGGTGCTGGGGAGGGTGGTTGATTTGGAGCGGGGTCGGTTGGGTCCTCGTCGACGCCGTCATCGAGCTTGTCGAAGCCGTCGTCGAACTCCCCCTCCTCGTCTTTGTCCGCGTCTTTGTCCCAAGGGGCCCGCCACAGCGGGAAGCGATGTGTTGCGGGAGCGGGCGCCCAGATGGTAGACATGAGAAGGGGAGAAGTGGGAGGAGCTAGGAGGAGGAGGAGGAGCTAGGAGGAGGAGGAGCTAGGAGGAAGAGGAGGAGGAGGAAGAGGAGGAGGAGGAGGAGGAGGAGGAGGAGGAGGAGGAGGAGATGGAGATGGAGATGGAGGAGGAGGAGGAGGGGGAGGAGGAGGAGGAGGAGGAGGAGGAGGAGGAGGAGGAGAAGGAGCTAGGAGGAAGAGGGCATTGGATCTGAAAGTGGTTGGTTGGCGTTTTTTCCCCTAAACCCCCAGTCCTCGAATCCCACAACCCCCCAACCGCCCAACCCTCCAACCCCCCAACCCCCCAACCCCAAAACTCCCCAATCCTCCCACTCCCAACCCCCCAACGCCTCAACCCTCAAACTCCCCAACTCCTCAACCCGTCAACCCCCAACCCCCCCAACCCCCAATCTCCCAACCCCCTAATTCCTCATCCCCCCACCCCTCAACCTCCCAACCCCATGAGGTGGCGGGTGTTGATGGGTTGGGGAGTTGGGGAGTTGGGGGGTTGGGGAGTTGCGGGCTTGATGGTTTGCGGGGTTGGGGTGATTGGGGGGTGGGGATTTGGGGGGACTGGAGGGTTGGGGGGTTGGAATGTTGGTCGGTTGGGGGATTCGGGGTTTGTGGAGTTGGGGAGTTCAAGGGGTGGGGGGTTGAGGGTGTTGGAAGGTTTGAGTGTTGGACGCTTGCGAGGGTAGGGGTTGGGGGGGTGGGGTGAATTTAGGTGTCAGGGGGTCAGGGGGTTGGGGGGGTGAGGGGTTGGGGTGGGTGGGGGTTGGGGGGGTGCGGGGCTTGGGGGTTGGGGAGCTACGGGGTTGGGAGGTTGGAGTGTTGGGCGGTTCAAGGATTGGGGGGTTGAGGGGGTTGGAGGGTCGGGGGGGTTCACATCCTGGAGGGGTTTCTGATGTCGCTGGGTTGGGGGGTGGGTGGGAGGTTACGAGGTTTCACCCCAGGGGTTTCTGATATCACACCGTTGGGAGGTTGTGGGGTTGGGGGCTTGGGAGGTTTCACCTTCCTGAGGGGTTTGTGATAGCACGGGGTTGGGGGGTTTCACCCCTCTTGAAGGGTTTCTGATGTCATAGGGTTGGGGGGTCGGGGGTTGGGGTGCTTCACTCCCTGGAGAGGTTTCTGATCTCCCATGATTGGGGGTTTGAGGGCTTTCACCCTTCTGATGTCACAGGGTTGGGAGGTTTACGGGTTTGGAGTTTCACCCCCTGGAGGGGGTTCTGATGTCCTCAGGTTTGGAGGGGGTGGGCGGCTTGGGCGGTTTCCCCCTCCCGGAGAGGTTTCTGATGTCACAGGGTTGGGGGATAAAAAAGCCCCAAACCAACCACCTTCAGATGCGCAGGGGAGGAGGAGGAGTAGGAGTAGGAGGAGGAGGAGGAGGAGGAGGAGGAGGAGGAGGCAGAGGAGGCAGAAGAGGAGGAGGAGGAGGAGGAAGAAGAAGAAGAGGCGAGGATAACCCAGGACGCATCAACGATAATGCAGTACCGTACGGCCTCCCGTCCCAAGCCTCCTCTTCCTTAACCACGAGAGCGCCCCACTGGAAAGGCGAGCGCCCCACGGACTTGCCGTGGAGGCGAGAGCCCCGTTTTGAAAAGGAGCTGCGCTCCACCTGGCTAGCTGTAAGAGGCGCCAGGGAGCAAGCAAGCAGTCCGATCGAGTCAAAGCTCAGGCATCACTGTTGGTGTTCGATTGAAAATTGCACGAAATCGTCTTCGCGCGTTGCATAATCACTGGTCAGCGTCGCTTCTAGCCAGTCTGTTCCAAAATAAGCGTTCGAGAATCTTCGCAAATAGTCGTCCCAATTCACTGCGAGTCGCCCACGTCCACGTCCAGCTCCAGGAAACGTTGTAGGGGGATGCCAACGAGATAATCTTGCAGGCCAGCTACCAATCATACTGCCCACTCGATAAGCTAATCTGAACTGCCTGCGCAGCAACTGCTGGCCCCAGTTTTCCATCGGGTATTTCGTCAAGGCTGATTCGACTTTCAATCGCATCCTTCACATTGTGTCTTCCCACGGCTCGTCCACGAGACGGGTCCAGCCAACAATTTTTCGAAGCATTCGCCGCTGCAGTACGTCCAGTGAGCACATCCGCGCCCGTGTCATCGCACATGACGAAAGTCCAAACATAATCGTTGGCGTGATCACCCTGTTGAAAAACTCGATCCGGGAGTATATGCTCAGGTGCTCGTTGGTCAAGGTGCCACGATGTGGATGAAACCGCATCCACGCAATCTGAATCTGGTGGCCCACCTCGTGGGAACTCCTTGCACGCAGGTTGCCGCATAGTTTCCTCCCCAAATACTTGTGGGCCATGCCGCTGGTGATGATTTCCACGGGCTGTCCTCCGAGGTCAAGCGGAACCACACTGTTGTCGTCCGAAGTCGTCAGCACCTTGGTCTTTCCGACGGTCAGGCTGAGACCTATTTCCGCAAGCTCTTCCTTTAGCGTTGTGGCCATGATGATGAGATCTCTGCGTGGGGTGGCGAAAATCATGATGTCGTTCGCGTATCTGATGCTTGTCAGGGGGCCACCATCATCAACGCGAACACCTTTTACTTTCACACGGTTCTTCCACCCACGCAGCGTTGCTTCGACCCCCGCATTGAAGAGCAGCGGGCTCAGGACGTCCCCCCGTTTGACGCCTCTCTGCATCTCAAAACGGCGAGAGCCACGGACTCGACCGCGTTGGTGTGCATAGATGACGGACAGCATGGCAATGCACTCGTCGCCCACGCCTTGGTTCCGTAGGGGCTCAAGCAGCGGTTGGAATGCAATTCGATCGAATGCTTTGTTCAAGTCCAGACTCAAGCACCAAAGAGGCACATTCCATCCCAAACACTTGCCACATGCAGTTCGAATACAATGAAAGCGTCGTCGACAGATCGCTTAGTCCGGAATCCAACTTGGTCTGCGGATCGTTGTGCATCCGACACCCCACCAATGCGGTGATAGAGCAAGCGTGCAAACAATTTATTTGTTAGTTTCAAAATTGCGATTGGGCTCCAATTCTGCGGCAAGCTGAGATCGCCTGCCTTCGGGAGCATCCAAAGCAATGTATCCCTCCAGGTCGGATCAATGGCGCTCTCATGCAACATCTTATTGAACAAGTGGAGTAGCAAAGCCATGAATTTGTGAGAACAAGTGGAGTAGTAAGGCCATGAACTTGTGAGAAGACTTCCTGAACATCTCCGCGACGACCCCGAACTCGTCCGAGCCCCTTCGAAGCTTCATCGATTTGAGCGCACGTCGAAGCTCCCACATCGTGATAGGAGGTATTTTGGTAGAGCAGCTGTCCAATATACATTGCAGGTACGTAGAAGCTGATCCACAAGTGTATGACCAATCAGTTTTGAAGATTCCCTCCAAGTAGTTGGCAAAATCCTCTGTTCCAGCCTGCGCGCCGGATCCAACTGTAGACGAGCATGCTGGTAGTTTCCTTGCGTCGTTGATCCAGTCAAGCTCGATGAACTCATCCAGAATAGCTTGGAATCGTTGGCTCTTCTGCTTCCGGAGCTCCCCGCGGATATGCCGTTGAATGGTCATTGAAAGTTCCGTCCGCTTGTGGGGATCACGTGCCTGGCGCCTCTGTTGCAAGAGATGTTGAAAGTGAGGTGAGTCCCATGGCTGGTCATTGAATCGCCGTCGTTTGCTGCAAGCTCCTCCCCCATGAGCCGCCGCAGTGTCGAACAGTATAGTCTCCGCTTCGAAGAGTGACGACGGTGCGTGCTGGTTGAGCTTCTCGTCCAAAGCCTCCTGAAAAACACCATCGTTTTCAAACGGACTCCAACCTCGCATCGATGATCTTCGCCTCTTGGTTTGTCGGCGCTTGCCCTTCCCGACATCAAGCTCTACGTGTAAAGCGCGATGGTCCGACCTCATATCCAAATATTGCGACATAACCCAAGTCACTTTGCGGATGTACGTGAACGCAAAAATTACATCGATTCTTATCAGCTTGCCCAAATTGCTCCTGAAAGTTCAACTGTTCTCATCTCGGCTGTTCCCGTCACCATCGACAATCGACAGGTTGAATGCGGACGCCATCTCAGGCATCTTCTGGCCACGCTCTCCAACCCCCCATTGTGTGTTGAAATCGCCCCCTACTACGATAGCGTATCCGTTATCAGTTGCATGTGTCAAGGTTCTGTGAACTTGCTCGTAAGCTTGTTCCAAAACTGTTTCTGGATGCAACATGGAATCTTCCGTTGGGCCAGTTCTAGGTCAACACGGAGCACTCGATCTGAAACAACATGCGTCGAACGAGTGCTGCCCACCAAACGTGCATGTATCGACACTCCAACGCCTGATGCAATATACTCTCCACTAGATATAAGCGATGTCCGCCCTCCAGCTCGACAGTCTGGCTTTCCGCGCGAGTCTCACTGAATAGGATAATGTTCCAATCCAGGGTCGCTAATTCAAGTAACAATTCTGCAAGCTTGTGCGGCCCATTGAGCCGCGCACTCTTGCAGACCAGGTGCAGCTTCCCATCGCGTGGACGGGGTGAAACTTGACTCGATCGGTGCTGTGCCTATTCCGGGCTCCCCGCCCGCCCTGCATTGTTCTTACCCTTGCCTTTGCCCTTCTTCGGCGTGAGGCTTGTCTTCAGCTTCTCCTTGCCCGTTTTCACCATCTCCTCAAGCTCCTCGCAACGAAGAAAATCACCCCAGCCCTCCCCGAAATCCGTGATGAGATCCATGCCCTCCATTCGTTTGCTGATGACCCGCTCTCCACCGACATGCAAAGTTTTGCTCGGAATGCCAACCCACCCGCATTTCCGATCATAGCTCCAGTCTGCCAATAAACGTTTGAGAGCAAACAAAAACGATTGTGGGATCTGGTCACCGGGAGGCGCGTGTGGGAACATGTTGATCTTTTTGTCACCGTGTTTCAACAAATTCTCCCTTTTTGCCTTGATCGCCTGCTCCTTCTCGTCCTCCGTACGGAACTTGAGGAAGAGGATGCCGGTGAATTCCCCTTTGGAGTACACATCTACAGGCGTAGGTACCCAGAAATCCCAAAGCTTATTTTGAATTCACTCGTTCGCCTCCTCCTCCTCCATGTCGGTGAAGCCATTGGCCGCTGCAGTGATCTTTCGCTCATCCGTAGGCGCGGCTCTCGGAGTGCTGTTCCACGATGGTGGAGCAGTGCCAGTCTTGCCGAAATACATCTTCCTCTGGTCGATTGCCTCGCTCGAGCTGTGGATTTCGGTGTCGATCTCCTGGATATTCTCGGTGATGTCCTGTGGTCCGCCCGATCGTTCGGACGTGTCCATACGCTGCCTCATCTCGCCCATATTTTTCTTCACGTTCAGCTCCACCTTGTCCATACGCTTGGTGATTGACTCGACTAACTTCGTCATCGGGTCGAGCCTCTCCTTGACCTTCTTCTCAAACATGCTCTCCATAGCGTTCGTAATCGCTTCGATGGTGATGGCACTTGCAGAAGCATCTCTTGAAGTGCTCGGCGTCGCCATGGTATACATCTCTGGACGGGGAGGTGAGGCGGAGTCGATCCCATCCACCTCGTGTAAGGGGCTGTGGAGACGCTGTCGAACGTCTCGTTCTCCTCACGGTGGTGTCTCGGGGAGCCTCGTCTGCGAGCGAGATAAAATCCTGAGGCTGGAAGGCAGTGTAGTCTCAATTGAGACCATGGCAATTTGAGAAGGTAAGAAGATAGGGAAGTATGCAGGTGCGTGCAGGTGAGAACTGGAGGGGGAACTTGTTTAGCAGTGTTTGGAGCCTTGAATTCCTCACTTGAGCCATAGGAGTGCTCTTGAGCCAGAATCGCGCCGAGGAGCATTCTCACACAATTCGAAGAAGTGCCCAGCGAGATCCTAGTTTGAAAAGGAGCTACCCGTGTAGCCCCCGCACAACCTAAACATTCGGGCCACAAAAAACATAACATATGAGGACGTCTCCAGGGAGAGTCCCCACACCGACATGTATATGCCCTCCCTTTGTGTAGGCGCGCTGGAAACTTGATGCGCGCGGCGCGACGGCGCGGGCTATCTTCCGAAATAGGGGCGGCGTGTGGATGTCTAAAGTGTGGGGGGCGTGCGGATGTACGTCCCTCAACCACCGTTTGGGCAACTTCTCGGGGGAACCCGCTTGTGAAGTTATCAGACCCCATCACCGCTTGGGCGGCGCGCCCCGCGGAGAAATTTGTGGATTCTGTGTACGACGCTCACACACACACACGCACACACACACACACACACACACGTACACACGGCGGAGGAAATCGCTGGGGAATTCGGCGGCCCACTCGGATTCATTCTCGGACCCTACCCCCGCCACAACAGCAATCTCGGCGAAGCGCCTGCCGCTGTCATTGTGAAACATCCTGCTTGCCTCCAGGGTGCCCTGGGTTTCGATGGTTTCGATGGATTTGCGATGGAAAGCGTGATGTTCCCGCACCAAATATCGATGTACGTCCTGGGGTCTCAGGGTTGGGTTTCTTCCCGCCTCGCCCCCCGCCAGGCCGGCGACGCGGGGGGGAGCAATGGCGCCGGGCCAACGTGAAACGACGACAGCGACGACGACGACAATGATGACGACGATGACGACGACGACGACGACGACTGAACTCTCAGGGGATGTCCCCCCTGGCCTGTGCCCCCGCAGCGCCTGCAGACGGGCTAACGGCGATGTAGGCAACGGCGATGTAGGTTTCGGTATTGTGGGAACGGAGGAGGAGGGTCTGCTGCTTCTGTCCTTCCTTTTCTGGAGTATTTTCTCGCCTCACGGTAGGGGGTCGTCCTTACGCTCCACCCTCCATCTTGTCTCTTTCCCTCTCCTTCCGTTCTGCTTCCCTCGTCTGCCTTCTTTCTTCTCATCTCCCCGTCGCCTCTTCTCTCTCACTCTTTTTTGTTTCTCTCTCTCTCTCTCTCTTTCCCTGCTCTCTCTCTCTCTCGCGGGTCTCTCCCTTTTTCTGGCCAGGGGGAGATGTCGGTCCAGCCCGTCGACTTCCAGCCCACCGAGACTCTCGAGTCGGACAGGTCCGGGACCATCTCCGTCTGTGGGCAGAGGACGCCCAGCAAGGACACCATCGGGGCGAGGGGACGACGATGTTGACGACCAGGACGACGGTGGTGATGGTCGTGGAGACGACGAGTGTTGATACGTTCGATGTCGTTTGATAATGATGGCGATGCCGATGATGCAAATAATTATGTTTGAGATGATGGTGTTGGTGGTGGTGATGACGATAATGATGCGCCCAATCATGATAGTTATGACGATGGTGGTGGTGGCGATGGTAGTGATGATGATGATGATGATGATGATGATGATGATGATGATGATGAAGATGATGATGATGACGATGACGATGATGACGATGACGACGAATCTGACAATTATGATGACAACGACGACGATGATGGCGATGACGACGACGATGATGACGACGACGATGGTGACGATGACGGTGACGATGATGATGGTGGTGATGATGGTGGTAATGATGGTGATGATGAATATGATGATGACGATAATGATGCTGATGATGATGCTGATGATGATTATGATGATGATGCTGCTGATGATGATGACGGTGATTGTGATGATGGTGGTGGTGATGATGTTGTTGCTGATGATGATGATGATGATGATGATGATGATGATGATGACGGTACTGATGATGATGCTGGTGGTGATGATGTTGATGCGAATAATGATGATGATGATGATGATGATGATGATGATGATGATGATGATGATGATGATGATGATGATGATGATGATGATGTTGATGCTGATGCTGATGCTGATGCTGATGCTGATGATGATGCTGATGCTGATGCTGATGCTGATGATGAAGCTGATGATGAAGCAAATGATGATGCTGCTGCTGATGATGATGATGATGATGATGATGATGATGACGGTGCTGATGATGATAACGACGACGGTACTACTGATGATGATGATGATGATGATGATGATGATGATGATGATGATGATGATGATCATCATCATTATAATTCTGATTATTCTTAATATCATTATGGTGGCGATGATGGTGATGATAATGATGGTGCTGCTGATGATCATTTGGTGGTGGTGTTGGTAGCGGTGATGATGGAGGAGGAGGAGGCGGAGGAGGAGGAAGCGGAGGAGGAGGAGGAGGAGGAGGAGGAGGAGGAGGAGGAGGAGGAGGAGGAGGGAGAGGGAGGAGGCGGAGGCGGAGAGGAGGAGGAGGAGGAGGAGGAGGAGGAGGGAGGAGGAGGAGGAGGAGGAGGAGCCAGGAGAGCAGGAGGAGCAGGAGGAGGAGGAGGAGGAGGAGGAGGAGGAGGAGGCCGAGGGGTCGTGGACGTGGAGGAGTCGTGGCTGTGAACCTGGCGGCAGCGCGCACGCCAGGCGCAAGCCTGCACGCTCCGGGGCCATTGGGGCCCCCCCGGCTCCGGAGGAGTCCTGCCGCACCCGGGGTCGGCCTCCGTGCCCTCGGAGCAGCGGGGGGCCACGAGGCCTCCTCCTCCTCCTCCTCCTCCTCCTCCTCCTCCTCCTCCTCCTCCTCCTCCTCCTCTCCTCCTCCTCCTCCTCCCATCCTCCTCCTCCTCCTCCTCCTCCTCCTCCTCGGCCGCGGCTTCTGGGCACCCCGCGCCTTCTCCGGAGCCCGGGACCGTCGTCGCCCTCCGCGGGTGGGCGCCGCAGGTGTGGCGAGGCGGGGCTCGCACGGGGGGTCGGCCACGTCTCCTTCCTCGGCGTGGTCTGAGGAGGGATCGGCCTCGGTGTGCCGCACGCGCTGCGACGGCCAAGCCTGGCTCCACGGGCGCCACGGGTGGGCATTCTTCCCAAGCTGCACCCTTGCATCCTTGCCCCTGCGGCCCGTGCTCGGCCACTTTCGCTGGCTGGGCCCCGCTCGAAAGGCTTCGAAAGGCCCTCCCCAGGCCCTTGCATCCTCATCGTGCGTCCTGATGATGCGGGTTGACTGTATTGGAATAAAGACAGTGCATGCGCTGGGTGTCCCAGCTTGGATCTGCGCAAGTGCATCGGAGCGTGACCTGGACCTTCTGAAGCATCCTGAGGCGTATTGAAACCCTCTCGGCTCCAGCCCCCCCAAAGTATTGCCCCTCCCTCTTCCCTCTTTTGCCTCCCGCAAGACTCGCCCGCTTGTGGCGTGAACTCTTGTTGGTTATGTTCTCTTCTTCCTGCGCTGGGCTATGTTCATCCTCCTGCTCTTACTTCTCGTTACAACATACTCCCATCCACTTTGCGTTCAGTCCCTAGCAAACCCCAGCGGGGCTCTAGTTATACCCAGCAGCGACCAAATCATGGTTTGTCGTTCACTCTAGCGTTGACTTGTTCGTCGACTTTGCAAGAGGCGTGGCAGGAATCGGACGTGCACACGTCACGTGCACCACTCCCATTACGCCTCTTTTTTGCTTGACATCGGCACTCTTCCTTGGGCGCGCGACGTGATATCCCTTCTGCCTCCTCCTCCTCCTCCTCCTCCTCCTCCTCCTCCTCCTCCTATCGTCATCCCTTTCGTTGTCCTCCGTCTCCTCCTCCTCCTCCTCCTCCTCCTCCTCGCCCACCTCCTCCAGCCCTCAGCCCCCCCCAGCAGCCACGGGCGGAGGGGCGCTTCGGGCCGCTGGACTCGGTTTTCAGCAGCAGTTCGTCCCAGACGCGTAAGTGCGGCCCCACGCCGTCAGGACGGGCCCCCGCCCGCGGCCACGACGACGAAGGCGACGAGGGCGACGAGGGCGAGGACCACGACGGCGACATCAGGCACGACGACGACGGCGACGAGGGTGGCGGCGACGACAGCGACGACCTGACGACCTCTCCCTGCCCCCCTCCGCCAAGAAGAGGAGGCGGACGACGAGGGCGAGGACGAGGAGACCCAGCTCTCGAGATATTCCAGAGGCTTCTAAGCTGCTCTTGGAGATTCCAGGGGGGGGTCCTGGAGGACTCCCTCCCGCCTTCCCTCCCTGACTCCCCTCTCTCCTTCCTCCCGCCCACCCTTAATTCCACCCCCTCCCTGCATCCTCTCGCTCCCCCTCCCTCCCCACCCCCTATGTCCCTTCCCCTTCCTCCGTTCCTCCCCCCCTCTCCATTGCACCCTCCATCCTTCCTCGCCCCCCCGCCCTCTGTCTCTCCATCCCTCTCCTCTGCACCATTCCTTCTTCCATTTCCTCCCTTCCATGCTTCAATCCCCATCCTTCCTTCACCTTTGCTTCCCCCACCCATTTTCCCCTTCCCTCACTTTCATATTTCCTACCCCCTTGCCTCACCTCCAACCGTCCTTCCCTCTGTTCTACAATTACTCAATATGAATACTACTCTCCCTCTTCCCCTGATGACGGAATGGGAGTAGCCGACCCCCCCCGCGTATGGTTTTTTACACGCAGGTTTCCCAGGAGTTGGGTTTTCGCTTGCATTGTTTCCAAAATGCTGCTCTCGCTGAGGCGCCGGCCTCATTTTCGGGCCCCGCTCGTTCCGAATCGTGCTCCCGCTGCAGCGCTGGCATCATTTCCGCCAGCGCCCGGGCTGCACGCCCGAGCTGGCGCCCAGGCCGGCGCCCGGGCCGGCGTCCGGAGCCGGTTTCGGCCGGCGCCGGAAAATCGAGTTCCGAGGCGGCGCCGAAAAAAGGCCATTCCAATACACATTTTTCTTTTCAAAATGCTGAATTTCTGCTTCTGGCGCCCGGGAGGCTTCCCGGGCCGATTTCGACGCCCGGGCCGGCGCCCGAGCCGGCGCCCGGGCCGGACGCCCGAGCCCACGCCCGGGCCAGCGCCCGGGCCGGGTCCGGAGCCGGTTCCGGCTGGCGCCGACGAATCGAGTTCCGAGGCGGCGCCGAAAAAGGCCATTCCAATACACATTGTTCTTTTGAAAATGCTGAAATCCTGCTTCTGGCGCCCGGGAAGCCTCCCGGGCCGATTCCGGCGTGCTTCCGCTCGTTCCGAATCGTGCTCCCGCTGCAGCGCTGGCCTCATTTCCGCGCTTCCGCTCGTTTGGGCTCGCGCCCCCGCTGCAGCGCTGGCGTCATTTCCCGTGCCATGCCACGGCATGCAATGCAATGCTAGGTTGATACTACGCTTTGCGGTGCTCTTCTACGCCATGCCACGCCGTGTTTTACAATGCATCACGTGCCCTTTCGGGATCATTACCCTGCTCGACATCCGACTGTGCGAGTAGAGAGGGGATCTGCGCCATAGTAAGGGATGGGAGGGAGGGTAGGATGTCAGATATGACGCGAGCGCACCTAGCTTGCCTTCCCCCCCTCCCTCCCCCCCCTCTCCCCCCCCCCATGCAATCCTTCACTCCTTCAACATCCCCATTCGCGGGGCCTCCTGAGTCTTCCTGGACCATCCTGTTGGGGTGCTGGAACCTTCTAAGGCCTCGTGGGCCATGCTCTTTTTCTTCTCAACCTTCCCTTCCTCCGCCTCCTCCTCCTCCTCCTCCACCTCCTCTTCCGACAGACCATACGAAGAGTTAATTTCGTGTCTGAGTCATTGGCCGACAGCGCTTGGTCAGCTGAGGCCATTCGACTTCATGCTCAGAGAGTAGTGGATGGAACCAGGGTCCGACAGATACAGTGCGAGCTTCACTGAGGACGTGTGGTCGTCGTCGTGGTGTGTGTGTTGAAGAAAGTGACCGTGTCAGATCCTAGTCATGGTGACCATCTTCTTTCGCAGCCTCGTTCCGCCCTGCCTCCAGCGTCGCTCTGGGCGCGTATTGTACGCTCTCAGGGTTTAGCGAAGTCTGGGCGTCTGTCGTTCCCATCTTCCAGGCCCCCAGAGCCCTCCGCATAGATCGCCATTCCCCCACGGCGACGCCCCGAGGGAGTGGCCAGAATCATCCGGCCCTTTTGGCGGGGGCCTGAGAGGGGTCCGCTTGGCGTTCTGGGGTGCCCTTGGGGCAGTGCGCCCCAGGGAGTCGGCATGGGCGGGGGATGGATGCACGCCGTGCGCTCACAGGCTGCCACAGGATTCGGCAGTCGCATCTGTGCTGGCACCAGTGGCCCCAGGAGGCTTGCTCGCTTACGGTGGAGGCCTTCGTTAAGGAATGCGCCCAGGAGGCTTCAGACCCTGGCCTTCGGCCGGCGAGGACGAGGACGAGGAGGAGGAGCAGGAGGAGGAGTAGGAGGAGCAGGAGAAGGAGCAGGAGCAGGAGGAGGAGGAGGAGGAGGCGGAGGACGCGGTGGAGCAGCATGAAGGGGAGGAGGAGGATGCGGAGGAGGAGAAGGAGGAGGAGGAGGAGAAGGAGGAGGGGGAGGAGGAGGAGGAGGAGGAGGAGGAGGAGGAGGAGGAGGAGGCCGGCGAGGACGAGGACGAGGAGGAGGAGCAGGGGAGGAGTAGGAGGAGCGGAGGAGCAGGAGGAGGAGGAGGAGGAGGAGGACGCGGTGGAGAGCAGGAGGATGCGGAGGAGGAGGAGGAGGACGGGGGGAAGGAGCCGTAGGAGTACGAGGATAAGGAGTCGGAGGAGCAGGAGGAGAAGAAGGACGCGGAGGAGGGGGAGGAGGAGGACAGGACATGGCAGGAGGAGGAGGACGGGAAGGACGCGGTCGAGGCTAGGTTGCGGAGCACCAGGGGAAGATCACGTGGGGGAGGGTGTGGAGATGATGAGGAAGATGATGATGATGATGATGATGATGATGATGATGATGATGATGATGATGATGATGATGATGATGATGATGATGATGATGATGATGATGGTGATGGTGATGGTGATGATGATGGTGATGATGATGATGATGATGATGGATGATGGATGATGATGATGATGATGATGATGATGATGATGATGATGATGATGATGATGATGATGATGATGATGATGATGATGATGATGATGATGATGATGATGATGATGATGATGATGATGATGATGGTGATGAAGATGATGACGATGATGATGATGCTGATGCTGATGCTGCTGATGCTGCTGCTGATGATGATGATGATGAGGAGGAGGAGGAGGAGGAGGAGGAGGAGGAGGAGGAGGAGGATGAGGAGGAGGAGGATGCGAAGGAGGGGGATGAGAGGGATGGACTGGGTGAGAAGGAGGAGGAGGAGGAGGAGGAGGAGGAGGAGGGGGATGGGGAAGGGAGAGAAGGAGGAGTAGGAGGAGGAGCAGGAACAGGAGGAGGAGGAGGAGGAATAATAATGATAGTAATATTGGTACTCGTAGCAATAACCATACAACAAATATGTTAATCATATTCGTAACAGTAATAATAGTAACAACACAACTACTTATAAGAAGACTAAGAATAGTAATAATACATATGAAGAGCAGGAAGAGCAGGAGGAGCAGGATGAGGACGCCGTGGAGCAGGATGGGGAAGATTAGGAAGAGCATGCGGAGGAGGATGAGGAGGGGAAGTTGGGGCAGGAGGACGTCGAGAAGAGTGATGAGCAGGTGGATGATGATGAGGACGAGGCGGAGGAACAACAAGAGGAGGGTGAGGAGCAGAGGGAGGAGGGGTTGCTTGTCGGGGTCTCTTCGGAGCGCTTTCGGGGGGCTTGGGTCAGCAGTTTGGGGGCGTTCTCGGAGTCTGGGAGACTCTGGGGGGTCTTCTTGGGAGCCTCTTGGGGGCCTACAGGGGCTTCCTGGGGGCTTGGGGGCGTCTTGGAGGCTTCTTGGGGCCTCCTGAGAGCTTCGGGCGAGGGCTCGAGATGTCTGTTCGGGGCCCCCATCTGGGAGCCCTCTTGTGTGCCTCTTGGCCTGTCTTGGAGGCGTCTCGGGCCGTCTTGGGGCCCCCTTGGGCAATATTGGGAACCTCTTAGAGGACTTTGGGCCGTATGGGGGCGATGTGCGATCTTGGGGGCATCTTGGGCCGTCGTAGAGCGTCGGGAAGCGGAAGAGGCGAGAACGCCAAAATCCGAGATTGATGAATGATGCCTTTGGGGGCCTTTGGAGTGCTCCTGAAGGCCCCTTGGGGCGGTTTGCAGGCCTCATGGGCCTTCAGGAGGCCGAGAGGGCGTCTTTGACAGATCGTTATGCGATGCGGGGCCCTCTTGGACCTTCTTGGGGGCCTCTTGGGGCACTCTTGGCCCGTCCTGGGGCGTTCTTGGGACCCCGGACACCCAGGGAGGGAGGCGTATCTGGGTTGCGACATCCCCCGGGATCCCCTCCAGGACCCCCCCGAAGATTCGCACTTGGGTGGCGACCCCCCCCGGGACCCCCCCGAGGACCCCCCCCCCTCCGACGGGGGGAGGGATCAAAGGGAGGGGGCTGCCCTTCGATTGAATGACGACATTACTCAATTTCGCTTTGGCTGGCGCGCTTGGGGAGGAGGGCCCAGGAGGAGGGGGGGAGCGGCAACGGTCCCAGGGAGATGCGGGTTGCAGGGAAAGGAGCCAGCAGAGGCGACGACTCACTAACGACGGAGAGGACGACTCGAACGGACAAGTCCTTCACGCACGCCGACAGGGTCGGCGGATCAGATGAGGTCGGCGGTGATATCCATGGCCAAGCCACTCTTGCGGTTACCGTCTGGGCCATCACGCGCGTTATGCCCCCTACCCTCCCCCCCCCCCCTTCATGACGTAACGCTGCCCCCTCAGTGCGCCCCCGGCACTGCCGCAGTGCGTCCTGCACCACATTCTGGGGAGGGGGGGCGCTATGCTATGCCCCCTCCCGTCCCCCTCCCCTCCCCCCCTATAACGCCCGTTACAGCCGCGAATAAAACATGTGTTCTTCC